TCCTGAGTAGTCATCCTTACTGAGAATTTAAATAGATTAAAAACTATTTGGAACCACTTTTGCAAAAGCAAGTGTAATAGAGAGAAAGAGTTAAGTATAGAAGATTTGTAAGCCTTTTGGTTCTGGGACTAGCTCTATAATTCCTTAGCTAATGTGATCCCTCTCCCCCATGTCCACATCTGTAAAATGCCAATAACAATAAAAACACTTTTTACTTCTCAGAATCTTTATTAAAATTTTACTGGTATCAGAATAAAAACTTTGATTTGTCACTTTAATGTTATCAGTGATGGTGTAAATGTAGACTGCATGAATTGCTATAGGAAACTAGAAAGGAACTTTCAAGCAATTAAAAAAGATATATACATTTGTATACATACATGTATGTTATGTATAAAACTCCTGATAGAAGAAAAAGAAATTAAAACTCAGAAATGTCTATAATCGGGGAAACTGGACATCAAGTTTATTGTAATTCCTAAAATATATGAACCTTTTTTTGCCCCGTGGTTAATTTTATTTTCCAATTGATACCAAAATAGATAACTGGATTGGTTACTAAAGACATACTGATAAAAGCTGTGTTGTTTCAGTTGTTCAGAATAAGAGCTTGCTCCTTCCTGACAAAAATTTAATGAGATGACTTCCTTGAGCTCAGAAAAGAGTTGGGGAAAAGATTTTCAGATTGCAGTATGGTGAATGAATGACAGTGAGCTTGAAGAGAGAAGACTTAGAGGTAAGAAAAAGAACTAGTTATAATGCAATTGAGAGTGATAAATGAATCTGAGAGATATTTAAAAGTCATAAGCTATAGAATTGGGGGTCCACTTTATGCGGGGACAGTAAAGGAGAGAGAGCAGTCAAGGAAGATAAACTTCTTTCTTGATTTGGGCAACCGTTTGCATAATAACACCATTACTGGGAAAAAAAAGTGATCATAAGATTACAAGTTCTCTGTGGGAAGGAAGATGATGACCCCAATTCTGAGTATATTGAATCCTCTATTTCTGTGAGACAGTTGATAGAGCTATAGAATAGTCGGTACATTGAAAGTAAAGGTCATGAGAAAAACATGGGCTGAAGATGCTGATTTGGAAGTCATCAGTATCATGGCTGTAGTTTCTGAAGATAAAGAGCATATGTGTAGTGAGTGATCACAGTGTAAAAAAAAGCAGACCCTGATCAGACCTTCAGATGTTTAGGGAATGGGACAAGGTAAGCCCAAAAGTTAAACTTGGAAGGCTGGCCAAAAGGATAAGAGGAAAAGCAGTTGAGTTTGGTGACCTAAAAACTAAGAAAAGGAAGAATGATGTTACTATCAAAAAAGTCAAATACTTCAGAGAAAAATGAGAATAATAAAATTTTTCATTGGACCTAAAAGCAATATAGTTCAAAGACATTGGTGAGCTTCTTGAGAGCAGTTTGTTTGGAAGTTAATGAGTGAGTCCAAATTGCACTGAAGGTTGGAGTATGAAATGTGAATTAGGGAATGAAGACATGAGATAGAACAATTCTTTCAAGAACGTGGATAGAGAGGTTTGAAAGTAGGTAAGATGGGATTTGGCAGGGGGTGGGGAGTCTTCTTTCTAGAGCAGAAAGACTACATCATATATAAATGCTTATGGGAAGAAACTTCCAATAAAATAGGAAGATAAATGGTGGAGTAAAAACTATTGGTTAGTGACCCAGGGTGGGATACAATGTCAGCATGATTACATTTCTAACTGTTTAGCCCAAATGCTGTCTACATCTCCAGTATCTGAGAGACAGAGCCTGAACATATTGTCCTTAATTAGGAAAAGGGAAGTAGTCGGTGGCTGAAACATAGCCCTGTAGTCAATTCTTTATTTTATTCTCAGTTTTATCACCACCTGTCTATATAACATTGAACAAGTGACCTCCCCCCCTTTCGTGCCATGTGAAATCAAAGTCCTTAGTACATATATATTCCTTGTATAAAGGAGAGGCAATATAAGTAAATTTTGTCATTGATAAAAGCTCTCTGGGATCTTGACCATTGGAGATTTTTTGTTTTGTAAATTTTCATGTTTATAGTCAATATTTTTAGGGGTATGGAGTCTTTCTCCCTCCACTTTTTCTTTTTAAATCAGACCATATCTGTATTTTTTTTTTCTGTACTCTGTGTCCTGTCTTGGAATTCAGAATAACAATGAATTAAGTGATGTGAGCTCTTGTAATTACTATACAGCTTCCTTTTACAGGTTTTAGCTTGTTGAGGAAAGATTCCTAGGATGTCTAAGTCTTGTTCTCGAACACCATCATGAGTAGTATTGTAGTGTCATGGGACATGATCAGAACCATGGCTTATTCAATTGGGAAAGAGAACTTGTGACTATTAAACAATAGAACTGGACATAGGGAGCTCTGAATTCTAAGTCTCGCCTATTTCTCTATGGGATCACCTTTGATAAGCCATTATTGCACTCTGGGCTTCACGTTCTTCCCTGTTAAATGGATATAACTTTTCAGATCCTCCTTGTGAAAGTCTAAGAGATTGTATTATAAGTCAGTGTATGAATATGAGAAAACAACTCTTAACCCAAAGGGGAAACAGAAACTCTACCAACAGAAATTAATAAGTAACAGGAATCAACTACATTCTATTTCTGCCATTGTGTTTGGTTTGGAATGACTGGTTCCTACCCAAAGGCCATATAAGATGCCATTGTGGAAAGAATGCTCACAAGTCAAGAGAATTCTCCTCCCATTTCCTCCTTTGACACTCTGCCCTGGTCAGTTGCCCAGGTACCATCAATAACTGCTAACAGAGAGCTGCAGAATGCTATGGTTGTCAGGCAGCTGTCTCTACAAGCAGAAAATGTTCCCATTTTGTTTGTCACTGCAGAGTGTCTTTATTGGGAAGGAAGAGTGGGGAAAAATGAGTTTTTTTGTTTCATTTTGTTCTTTATTGAACTCCTTCAGGCTTTCTTGTCTTCTTCCCTCCCCCTGACACATAGTTTCTCAGGGACAGCATAAGCAACTAAGAGTTAAAAAAATTAGGAAAAGGAAAATCACAGTCAAAGCATAAAAGCATAAACTCTGCAATTTGTAATCAGGGCATAAACTCTGTGATGAAATTTGTGAGTAAGTAATTCACTTTCCACTTAAGCCCACCAGTATGAAATCTAATGTTGCTGCCCTGAACACTAATGAAGGAAGTCAGACGGCAGTACAGCTAGCCCTTGGGGACTCATTTCTCACATCACCAAAAAGTAATTCCCATTATTTTTGGCCATCTGGTAGCCTGGATTGTGAAGATGAAGTTTCATTCAAGTAGGGCTTAAGAGTGTGGGCCCTGGAGTCTTTTTAGAGTCACATCTGTTTTCTGCTTGTCACCTAGCCTCTTCTACAACTTATTTTCCTACCCATAAATAAAATACTCATATAATATTATTGACTTATTATAAGGAGTTATTGAGATAATACTTATAATTTACATAAGGTCTTGGGGCTTCCCATCATCCCATCCATTCCCATCACTTCATGGCAAATAGATGGGGCAACAATGGAAACAGTGACAGACTTTATTTTGGGGAGGTCCAAAATCACTGCAGATGGTGACTGTAGCCATGAAATTAAAAGATGCTTGCTACTTGGAAGAAAAGCTATGACCAACCTAGACAGCATATTAAAAAACAGAGACATTACTTTGCCAACAAAGGTCTGTCTAGTCAAAGCTATGGTTTTTTCAGTAGTCATGTATGCATGTGAGAGTTGCACTATAAAGAAAGCTGAGTGCTGAAGAATTCATGCTTTTGAACTGTGGTGTTGGAGAAGACTCTTGAGAATCCCTTGGACTGCAGGGAGATCCAACCAGTCCATCATGAAGGAAATCAGTCCTGAATATTCATTGGAAGGACTGATGCTGAAGCTGAAACTCTACTACTTTGGCCACCTGTTGCAAAGAACTGACTCATTGGAAAAGATCCTGAAGCTGGGAAAGATTGAAGGCAGGAAGAGAAGGGGAAAACAGAATGAGATGATTGGATGGCATCACTGACGTGATGGACATGACTTTGAGTGGGCTCTGGAAGTTGGTGATGCACAGGGAAGCCTGGTGTGCTGCAGTCCATGGGGTTACAAAGAGTTGGACATGACTGAGCGACTGAACTGAACTTGGGGCTTCCCAGTGGCACTAATTGTAAAGAACTTGCCTGCCAATGCAGGAGATGCAAGAGATGCAGGTTAGACCTCTGGATGGGGAAGATCCCCTGGAGGAGGGCATGACAACCCACTCCAGTGTTCTTGCCTGGAGAATTCATGGACAGAGGAGCCTGGCAGGCTGCAGTTCATAGGGTTGGAAAGAATCAGTCGTGACTAAAGAGACTTAGCTACATGCACACCCACCTGTCTGTGACATAGGTCTTATTAATTCCATGTTTAAGCTCTAAGGTAACATCATCAGACCTGTCAGAAACCAAGATATATTTAAGGCTTTCTGTTGTAGTGATTAACTAGGGGTTTCATTATGTGGCTAGATTGTAAACAACCAGGTATTACTGCATCTTAGTAACACAACTATGCGATCTGATATTAAATAACACTGCTTTTCTTTTCCTGACATTTGAAGGAAATACATTCATTTTATCTACATAAGAAAATAAATGTAAGTAGTACTTAGTAATAAGAAAAATCTATTCTTAATGCTTATACTTGTGCACACTCTCTAATAACCAAACCAGGTCCCTTGGAATCATAAAAGAGCTAAGATATTTTCATTGTGTTACTCTGTGTACTTTCTATAGTGCTTGACCATAGTGGAAAGATTCTCACCTTATAGTTAGGACCTATCCTTTACATCTGCTCACTGAGTCTGTAAGGAAGTCCTAAAATACATAATCTTCTTAACACAAAAATTCCAATGGTTCAAGTCAGAAAAGTACTTTGCTTAGATTTGCCACTTCCAATTGCATGGACCAGTACCGCAAACCTGCTTTTAATGATGTGGTTACTTATTCCATTTGGTTTTGTCTTAACAGTTCCACCAAAGATCTCCAACATCTCTTCGGATGTCACTGTGAATGAGGGCAGCAACGTCACCCTGGTCTGCATGGCCAATGGCCGTCCTGAACCTGTGATCACCTGGAGACACCTTACACCAACTGGTAAGTAACTCTCCAGGCCCCAAGATGCAACAAACTATTTGAAATATCCTCATGCTTCTGTGATTCCATTGAATCCAAAAGGCAAGCCTGTGTATTGTTGTTAAAACACTATTAGAACCTCCTTCCCTTCTATAGCTATGGCTGATTCATGTTGATGTTTGGCAGAAGCCAACAGAATTCTCTAAAGCAATTATCCTTCAATTAAAAAGTAAATAAATTTTTAAAAACACTGTTAGAATAGTGGCATAGAGCTAACTTGATTAGGGTCATCTCTGGTCTTGGCTAATATGTCCATCTCTATAAAGTCAATAATCATACTATGTATATATTATACCATATATATAATATATATATACTATATATATAGTTCTGTGGTTTATATATAAGGTATATTTCATTTTAATAGGACACTCCCCCAAGGCAACCAATATAGAAGCATTAAATGCATTAAATGACTTAATAATTATGTCTAAAGCAGGTCGGTATCTGAATGTCTTGGGACAATATTTTGTATGGATTAAATTCCCATAGTTCTTTGTGTGCTTTTTGTTTTGCTTTGCTTTTACATATAGTTTCCTAATACTATAGCACCTTGTGAAGAAATCTGTCAGGAATAATACAAAGTTGTGACTTGTAATAGCCTGTCCTTAGCATCTGGTTCTCTGGAGGGACACCAGGCATGGACTAACCTTCATGAACTCATTATGCATCCCCAGCTATTGATGCTAATTTAATAAAAGTCAAAAGATCATTTCTGAGAAATGTCATCTGCATTCTCCCCTTCTCCTTCCCACTACCGTCACTGGGTTCTGAGGTTCTACTGCCTTTTAAATTCCATTTAAATATTTTTACCCAATTATTTAGGATTAACTGCATGTGTCCTCTCCTACTCCACAGACTGAATTTTCTTACATACAAAACTATGCCTTTGTGAATGACACAGTCAAGAAAGAAATTATGGATCAATTTTTCTTATAAAATATCATTTATTTTGGTAACTAGTCCCAAACATTTAACTCATTTATATCTGATTCAATATACAACATATTAATTTTGAAGTGAACACCATAAATATTGTTATGCAAAGCTAGATAGACAATGGGATCTATATTGACATACTTCTGAAAGACCAGACTAGGGTAGTGTTTGGTTATAGCATCTTTAAATAATTTTGTATTTTGTGGTATGAAAATATGGGCCTCCATTCCATATTAGCCCTCAAATTAATGTACCAGATGAAATTTGGACTAACCTATGGAATAGTCTTTTATTTAGGCACCAGTTCTAATTAGAGGTTCTATTTTCTTAAGATGATGTTAAGTCAAAACTCATTCTTATTATTAATGCTTATAGCTTGTTATTTGTTGAGAATATATAAAAGCAGTAAATGAGGCACTTATTTATGGGATAAATCTCAAATTCATATCCTATCATTCTCATTTTAAGCCTCACATGGAAAAAATTACAAATGCAGGATTATCTGAAGTTTGAGCCACTGGTTATCATATACCTTTCCCCTGGATTAAATTTAACCTCCAGAGCACATTCTCCTTGGATGAAACTGTATATATTAACTCTCAATCCCATACACACCTACCTTTCTCCTGTAAAATTGCTTTCACTAAGTGACAATTTGGTATAGAAGTTTGGGGTACATATTTAAGGATTAATCCTTAAGAAGATATCCTCTGAAAGCACTGCATTTTCTGTATTGTTGCTTTGAGAGATTGTTATTGCATTACATTGTTTCCTCTTTTATTTCAGTATTTCTAATGTCCTATTTCTAAGCAATGGTTTGTTTTTTAAATGAACCCAGTGAACTTTTACAAATAATCAGGAGTCCTTCATTGTATTAACTGTTACCAAACTTAGAGCCAGATTTATAACCAGTCTGAAAAAGAATAGAGGAAATCATATATAAATTACACCTTGATGAAATGAATTTTGAACAAACTGTGTGGGGTTTATGGCATCAAATCCACATATAGACACACTCTTGCTTTCATCTTGTTTTCTTATCGTTATTTTCATATCATCTCCATTTTGTAATTAATTTAAATGTTTGTATAGTATTTATGATATCTTATTTTTATGGAATACATAGCAGATGAAAGAAAGAAAGAAGGGAGGATGTAGATTATATTCAAGTTATAATCAAGGAATGAACTGCATTAATATTAATAAAAATGCCTTATCCCTTTGGTACATTATTGACTAGTAAATAATTTTGTTTTTTTTCAGGGAAAAATACTATTGATGATCTGAAACTAAAGATAATTCTTTTTTATCCCCTCAGTTCAGAAAAATAATGAAATCAAACCAGTTTAAAGACCTCCCCAGGCTTGTTCTATAAGTGTAGATTTTCATGGCTAACTTTAGTAAACTTGTTAATGACAGTAAACAANTTGATGATCTGAAACTAAAGATAATTCTTTTTTATCCCCTCAGTTCAGAAAAATAATGAAATCAAACCAGTTTAAAGACCTCCCCAGGCTTGTTCTGTAAGTGTAGATTTTCATGGCTAACTTTAGTAAACTTGTTAATGACAGTAAACAAATGGTTTGAACCCTGAATAATCTGATTATCCGTGATATTTCAAGTCATCTAAAGATCAAAGGACAAGCTAGATCTCCCAGAATAAAGGGAGTATTTACATACAGTCAGAGAACCTGAGGGACTTCAAAATTAATAGAAAAATTGATGTACACCCAGGGATTCCCAATAGCCAGGGGATGGTGGTGTCAGGCAACTATAGTTCTTGGGCCAAATTCAACCCACCTCACTTTTTTTTTTTTTTGCAAGCTTAGAATAATTTTTAAATGGTTAGAAAAAATCAAAAGAATTTTTAAGACAGACTCCAATTCACTCTATAATGGGTAGTAATTCCCAAGTCTACTTTTTTCATCTTTTTCACATCTGACCTAAATAACCACCTGATCATAATCATATTCTTGATTACATGAGAGAGAATTTGTCTTTACTATTCTATACAAGAAATTAGGGGTTTTTGTTTTGTGTGTTTTTTCCTTTGCAACATTTGGAAACAGGGGTTGATCCTTTTCAGCCTATAATGCAAAGCCTTTCATAAAGACACTCAAAGAAAAGGCTCTGCTCCCTGTGTGACAGCAAAGCTACCTGCAACCCATGGCCATATGAGCAAAAATCTCCAGCTAGCTTTGTTCAATAATTAATTGTGCCTTCAATAGAACAGAGTGTGACTGCCTTGCAGAGGAAATGTACCTGTAATTAGCTCGACCCCACAGGGACATTGAGCCCTGAAAAGGGGGAGATTTCATTCAGGGTTCACAAATACTTGATTACTTGTCACTTGATGACACAAGGGGGAGAAAGGAAAGTAGGTGCAAGGTATATTTTTATGAGAAGAAGAATATTTATTACCTCTTAATTCAGTCCCTTTAAAAAAAATTGTTGGATCATTTTGTTTCTCTTTCTTTTGACACCTGAAATTTCTTTTTCAAGAATACTGCAAGTGTTTTTTAATGAGGGAGATTAGAACAATGGTGAATTTTTTATATATACAAAATCAGAACATACTCGAAAATAGATGGAGGAGAAGAGATTGATGAATTCTATGGTTCCCTTCCCTGTATTTTTGATATCTTAATTTTTCTCTCCTCTTCAGTTCTATAGTCAAAATGATGTGTCACATATGCGGTTGTTAAATATGACCTATTTTCTCCCTTAATTAAGTTAGACTTTCATAATCCTATAACTCCCAGAGGGCAATCGCACTGTAACATGTATTTTCTATGGTGTGTTTGATCTCACTCCTATGAGCTAAGCTGCTCCCATCTTTATTTAACTTTGTTTCTAAATCTTTCTTCTCACATTCCAGAGTATCTGTCTCAACTGTGCCTCATGCCATGTCAGGTTTGTTCATGGTTACAGAGTTTCTGGGCTTCCCTGGTGGCTCAGTGGTAAAGAATTCACCTGCCAACGTAGAAAAGGTGGATTCAATCCCTGGGTCGGGAAGATCCCCTGGTGAAGGAAATAGCAATACACTCCAATATTCTTGCCTGGGAAATCTCATGGATAGAGGAACCTAGTGGGCCACAGTCCATGGAGTCACAAAGAGTTGGATACTATTTAGTGGCTAAACAACAATGATAACAGTTTTTCTATACATTTCATTTCTACAAAAATTTTTACATCCTCAGTAGCTTTCTCTACCTGGAACACTGAGAACTTAGCCCCTTAGGCTGAGAGCAATTTAGCAGGCATTTTATAGTTCTCTTGCCTAAGTCAGATTTAACATCAGCACCACATATAGAAAGCTCATGTAAGGAATATTTCCTATTTATAAAAGAACAAAAGAACACACAGTAATTTGAAAAGATACATGCATCCCAATGTTCAAACAACAGTATTTACAATTACCAAAATACAGAAGCAACCTATGTGTCCAAGAGATGAATGGATAAAAGAGATGTGGTATAAATATACAATGGAGTGCTACTCAGCCATAAAGAGAACTACATTTTGCCATTTGTGGCAACATGGATGGAACTAGAGATTATCATACTAAGTGAAGTGTCAGAGAGAGAAAGATAAATATATGATATCATTTGTATGTAGTATCTAAAAAATACAACAAATTAGCGAATATAAAAAAATAAATAAACGGACTCAGAACTAACAAATGGCTAGTGGGCAGAGGGAAGTGGAAGTGGGGAGGGGCAATATAGAGGTAGGGGAGTAAAAGGTACAGAGTTTATGTGTAAAATAAATAAGCTACAAGGATATATTGTACAGCACAGGGAATGTAGCCAGTATTTTATAATAATTATGAATAGAGTATAACCTTTAAAAATTATGAATCACTATATTGTACACCTATAACTTATCAAAACATAGTTGTACATCAACTATCCTTTCATAAAAAAGAAGCATTTTCTATGTTGATGGAGTGGGGAAAACATTCTAAGAACTAACAGGACTCTGAAGAGTCTGAAATCCCCTTGTTCATTGGAGGTTGGGTTTTATCACT